CATAGATCAGGGTTGCTCACACAATTTCAGGGATATCATTGATGAATACTGTGCAAAGGTTTGCTGCATAGATATAGCATGTTGTCATGGAGATGAACATTGATAGATAGTATTGATTTACACCAAATAATTAAGCCTATTGTGCTTTTATTCTACACACTCAGTGCAAGGTGGTGTCATGCCTAAACAGAGATATTGGAAGAAATCAGGCACAAAGAGAAAGGTGTGTTGGGTTGTTGTTTCTTTGCTCAGATCAATTCTGAGTGAACTTTGTAGGAAATAAGGTCAGAAAAGACATGAATAAGTAATAATAATAAGTTTGAATATTAACATGTAATGTAATCAGTGAAGGTTGATTAGTTCTAATCATTTCATCAATGTTAGTAGTACATGTATACATTGACTTACTTACATTGTTGTTTACAAACAAGCCATCCCTACATTGCTCTGAAATTAATTTCTGTTATTGAAATAGATGTATTTGCCTTTCACGTAGTAATGCCGTATTTATCCGGCTAAGAGCCCATGCCTAGACAAATGCCCACCCCCCACTTTTGATAAAATAAAGGAGTTGAGGTCATATCCTAGCAAACGCCCAGGGGTGTTTTTTCTACACTTGTAATAAAATTAAAAAACAATAGCCTATTGTTGTTCATTGTTTTAACAGTTTACTTCCTTGCAGTCTGTTGTGATTCTGATAAAAAAAATTGAAAAATAAATGTCAATTGCATAAAAAGAGGAGTGAACGCGAAATAGCTATGACATAAATAGAGCAGCGGGTTCACCACTGTTACGTAGTTTACATTTATTTTTTCTAGATTTTTTATCAGAAACATAACAGCAAGCGAGTAAAAAAATTTATATTAAAGGAGAAACTGTAGTTCTTTTTAGCTCCGCTGTCGACTTTGTCGAGCGGAGCTTATCATACGAGTGATTGTCTGTCGTCGTCCGTGTCAATGTTTTACTTTTTCGACTTCTTCTTGAAAACTACAAGCCTGAATGCTTTGATACTTGGTGTATATGTACCTTGGGTAGACCTCTCAGAGGTTTGTTCATTTCGTGATGATATCTTCAATTCTCTAATTTTGGTGAATATTTTTGTCATTTTTGGTAAAAAGTGATATTTTCGACTTCTTGTTAAAAACCGCAAGTCCGATTGCTTTGATATTAAATATATAGGTACTACATGTGGACCTCTCTCAGATTTGTTCATTTTGTGATGATATCTTCAATTCTCTAATTTATGGTGAATATTTTTGTCATTTTTGGTAAAAAGTGATATTTTCTACTTCTTGTTAAAAACTGCAAGTCCAATTGCTTTGATACTACATATATAGGTACTACATGTGGACCTCTCTCAGATTTGTTCATTTCGTGATGATATCTTCAATTCTCTAATTTTGGTGAATATTTTTTCATTTTTGTTAAAAAGTGATATTTTCTTCTTGTTAAAAAGCACAATCATTTATGGTGAAAAATGATATTTTTGAATTCTTGTTGAAAACAGCAAGTCGCTTTGCATTGATACTATGCATATTGTTCATTTTCTAATGACATCTTCTGTTCTTTAATTGAAATGTGCATTGCTAACAGCGGAGCTATCTCAGCCGAGAGGCTGCTTGTTTTGAAATATGTCGTGGCCCTGAAAGGGGCAGTTTATGTTTCCTTATAGAAATGATTCAAACAAACCTTACAGTATATCAAGAGCCGCGAAGCAAGTGTCGCACTCGTTCGACTTCAGCGTTGCCGATAATGAAACCAATGTTGCAATATTGTAGCAACACGTACCTGGGAGAGTGGTTTAAAGCACGTTGTTTTGGCTTTATAAAATATTTGCGAATCCATAACTGGGCCAGTAATTTTGCAATGTCACGCCAAAGACTGCCAACTTTTTCACCATCTTTTACCACAGGATATTCTTCTGTCGTTTGAAAAAAATCTTCCTATTTCAAGCCCACCGCGATATCCATATAACTTGCTGAATGGTAACTTTCATCTAATTGATGAACGAACGCCTAGTCTGATAAAAAAGCAATGTTGAATTTACCTCAATGATGAAACACTAGTAGTGATGTCATTCTTAGCCAATCGGTAAAGTGAATGCTTAAAGGTCAAAAATGTTTGCCAGACGGTAAACAAAAGCATTGTGCGAGTCGTTTGCCGCGACCCCATTTTTCGTGTCTCTTTATTCTGATTAGACGTGAATTAAAAGTTCCAAGCTACCAGACAGCGAAATCCGTGGATTAAATGTGCTAAGTCCAAATTGTGTGAGACGACATCGACGAACTTCAAGACGAAGCTTTAGAGATTTTGTTTGATCGCGACAGTGACACCGACTTGGAATTTCAGTGTTTTGAATTTTACGAAGATAGCAATGAACCACAGTCACTCAACACCGATCTTAGATGTGTTTGTTTTTTCTAACAACTATGAACTTTTGTAATTTTACTGCGTAAATTATTATTGATCCTGTATGGCTGTTGATCCGGTATTTGTCAAAACCGGGAAATAATTGACGCGTATGGAGCGTGTTTGTCGACAGGGATATTCTAATTCAAATGAATCTTCACTTTCGATTTTTATTATTTCTGTTTTTTTGTCACATTCTAAGCAATAAATTATTTCTTGTTACACTTCTAATGCTGCATATTGTTCATTTATTTTTGTTGCATGTTTTTATTTGCCGTTTTACTCCATGTCGCAGTTCGATCTGTGTGTTGCCAATTTTCGCGATTTTTCAGGTTTTTTTGCTGGAGATATCCGGACAAACGCCCACCCCTTCTTTTTGGCAATTTCCCATGTTCAAGACCCTGGGCTCTTACCCGGATAAATACGGTATTATTTTGATCTGCTGTATTCTAAATGAGTGATGACTTCACAACTAAACACAGTTGTCTATTTGCTTATACGTACACTTGATGACATTTTGATGTCACCTTATAACTGGAGGGCATGATGTACCATATATACTGTATATATAAGTTTAAACAAATAAAAATGCTCACATGAATGTTGTCAAATTTGTGAGTTCAGTACAGTGGCGTGAACATTGCTACAATCGCGCACTGTACAGGAAGTCTATTCTGGGCTATTACCATTGTCAAATTTCGTAGAGTCTAGGACTATTCGTACGGGAGACAATCCAATTAGGCATTTTTTGATTGGCAAAATCCTTTATTGGAACAAAAAATTTTATATATTCACCAAAAAATTATGCTATGTTACTGAAAATGCAACATGGAATAAGAAATGTGAGTGGACCAAATCTTTTATCTAGGATTTTCTTGGTTTTAATAGAGACAGTTTTTTTTCATATGACCAACAAATTCATGTATTGTTATCAATATTAATCATTTTCAGAAATTGTAATTTTAATTGAATGTGCAATATGGTAATTTTATACCCATAATATTCTTATAATTGTACAGAGACTTGGCCATTTACCCCACAAATTTAGAAATGAAACCTTTATAGAGCTTATTGTAACGTCATTGCATCGTTCATGGCAAGGCAGCTCAGTCAAGTTAATCCCGGTCAAAGCTCTGAGCTGGTACAACATTTCAACCCTGCCTACAGAATCTTGCATTAGTGAAAATAGATTCTTCTGCTATCTTGTGAGTAAAATGAGTTCACAGTATCAATCACATCTCTATTGCACCGTTTTTAGTTCCTGTTCGAACAATGTCGGCAAATTAGGACTTATAATTTCACCTCTGTGCATCTCTCAAATCAACCTTAAAAGTTGTCTTCTGTTCAAAATGGCTGACTTGGCGCATGGAGTCTGGAACAGCCACTGGTGGTGCTGTATACAATCAAAACCTATAATTGGGGCTTGGCTACGCCCAGACTTGAATGTAAAGGCCAGAAATAGTTATTAAATTTTGAGTTTAGTATGATAAAAAGCGTGTGGGTCAAGACCGTATATACGTGATTTCGGCGTTGCATACTAAATGCTTTCTATTAATAATTTCACTTTCAAATAATATTCATGAGTTATGTCTTTGTCTAACCTTGTTAAAGGTTATTAGCATATTGTGTACACAGTGCGCATACTTCAGCCCCCGTTTCGTATTTCACAACAAATTTGTCATCACACTTAAGTCAACTGCAATTAACGTTTTATGTATTAAGTGACATTCAGCACCGTCAATGAAGTTTGTCAGTCAAACCTGATTGACGGTGCTGAACATTGTGTATGTATTCAAAGCCTACACATAAGCAACGCTACCAGATATATACACAAGGTAACTAGCCACCCAAACCCAGCGACTGCATGCGTAGCAAAAAATTTGTACACACTCCGACCATGTCATACTCTGTAATATGCAATTACAATTCTGGTTCTCTGATAACTCTGGTTGTATTTGTGTGTACATACACATACACATACAAGGGCTTTGTCAGGTTAATCACTTGTCTATAATAAATTGTTCCTGATACATATATAGGCCAGTTGCAGGAATGGTTTGCTTTTACTTATCCTATTGGTTGTACTATGATATTTTGTATACCGACTTTGTTGTTTGTTAATTTTGTAATTTTTATCCCCATAGAACTTTGAAGATATGGAAAAGAAAAAAGAAAGAAATACAAGTATCCCCAGAGACTTGACTGCTAGAACTGTTTCTCAAGCTGATGATCCAGAAACACAAGAAGTGAAACAAGAGGCGAAGATCTCAGTAACAGAAAATGTAGCAGAAAAAGACATCGATGAAAGTGATAAGATTAGAAAAGAGACTGATAAAGCTGAGGAAAATAAGAATAAAATGGAAATTGGCAAAATGGGAGATAATACCAACCCATCTGATCGAACAGGAAGAATGCATCATGGAAATAATAATAACACATCTGACCGAACGGCAAGACAACGCCAAACAGGTAATACCAACCCTACTGATCGAACAGTAAGACAACGCCAAGGAGATAATATTAACGCCACTGAACGAACGGCAAGACAGCGGCAAGGAGATAATACCAACGCCACTGATCGAACGGCAAAACAGCGGCAAGGAGATAATACCAACGCCACTGATCGAACGGCAAGACAGCGCCAAGGAGATAATAATACCAACCTCACTGATCGACCAGGAAAACAACGACAGACAGGAACTCCTAATAAATCCAAAAAAAAAATAATTGGCAAAACTGGTATTGTCTTTGAAGTTGGTACAAAAATTGAAGCAATGGATTACATGAAAACTTGGTAAGTCTGGGTTCTATATTAGTCAGTGTTCTCCACAATCCAAAACAGCTGGTGGGTGGCCTAATTAGCATAAATGTGCATATTAATTTGCATATCATTTACATACAACATTCTAGCATTTATGATATGAACTGCAATACACACTAAGTTATTTACTATTCTTTTTTTAATTTAATTGGAACATGTTACAATCTTTTGAAATACAAACAGATTGGTCAATACCAATATTAATGATATATCAATGTAAAGTTTGAAATTGGTGATTTATACGTTCTCAAAATATTCTGCGTTCATGAAATGCAATTCGAGTAACGAAGAGCAAGTACAAAACATAACTGAGTTTAGATGTAGAAAATATACGAGGTGATTTGTCCCCTAAGCCAAAACGGGCGGTTTGTCAAAATAAAACCCACAATTTTTTTTTTGTGTTTACAACATTTTTTTATTGGGCTTCTTTAATGAAGTTACATAGCATATAAAACTTATGAAACCTTAGTATTTTCTAAGTGTACATTATGTGATACAAGGAATCAAGGGGGACCACTTCTTGTAATGTGCCTCTTGTTTATTATTT